ATGGTTGATATTGTTGTTGTTATTATTAACGACTAGGCATCAGAATTAAAGTGGTAAACATTTGTAATAAATCGTATTTGCCATAAGAAAGGTTTAATGAACTTAATTTGAATTTAATTATTAAATCTTTAATTATAAGCAACATAAGTCATGCTACAGCAGTGGCGTAGCTAGGGTTGGTGCCACCCGGGGCGCCCCTTCCACAAAAGCGGATAGCTTGTCCAAAATGCAACCCCTAAATATAAAGAAAAAAATTGCTACCCCCTCCGAACCACCCTTTCCAAACAACTGTGCTACAGTGAATAAGGGGGGGGGGCGGGCGCTAATTTTTTTTATAAGTCTGTCACATGCAAAGATTTAGATACTTAAAATTTTATCAATCTGAAAATTATTTATTTAAGTACATTATCACAGAATACATAACAGATTGAAAAAAACTCAAATATTTTATTGGGGGGGGGGCGGGCGCTAATTTTTTTTATAAGTCTGTCACATGCAAAGATTTAGATACTTAAAATTTTATCAATCTGAAAATTATTTATTTAAGTACATTATCACAGAATACATTACAGATTGAGAAAAACTCAAATATTTTATTAGAAATAGATGCTGGGGGACTGAACTTTTAAGTTTTAATAGGTGCTTACATTTTTAAACATTTTAAACTTTTGTTAGATCATTTGATTATTGTTTAATATCCTAAATGTCTTTAATACATGTTTGTTGCAGCAAAGGAATACTGCACCGTGATCTGAAGCTTAGTAATATTCTGGTGACCTAAATCAGCTCGATCAGGGCGAATTCTTTCGCTTAAACTTAATCAAAATTATTTTGTTCCCCAGTCTGTATGCATTGTCCAGCGTGCTCCCCCAGCGATTACCAAATCTAAATAATGACTATTTAAGTCATTATTGTCATTAAAAGAGTTCTTTTATTATGGCTGATTTCTAAGCTAGAGAAACACTTTAGATGCCTTGTGTTTACATTTTTATTATTGTAAAATGTTGTCTTGGTTTAAACACATATTTATTTATGAGCTGAAAAGGAAATGTACAAGGTACCGGTAATATAAAAGACAATATTTCCATTTATTTGGGTCAATAAGGAATCTTATTTTATGTTATTTTAACTTATTTTATCTTATTTTATGCATTTGTGTGTCAAGCAGAAGTGTATTGTCTGAAACGGTGGATATAAGTATAAGTTGAAGGGTTGAACAAAAAAAAAGGGGGGGGGGTACAGAAGTTGTGTCCATTTAAAAAATCCATCTAAAGTGTACACTGAGATTGGTGATGTTTATAATGCTAACCCCCCCCCCCCCGTAGTTACGGCACTGTCTGCGATAAGTTTTCTTGAATGGTTATGCAGAGCTTTACAACAACAACAAAAAATGATTAACAGTATTTTTTAACAGTTCTGTCCATTCAAGAAAATTCAATTTAAAAAAAAGCTAATACTGCAATAGTCGGGATATCATCAATGACTCGCTTTATCCGTTTGTTTTTTGGACGATAAGTCAATGCTCATTCGAGGGGTAAAAAAAAAGTTCATTACCAAAAGTCTCCATAATGATTTATTTCATTCTTTTTCCAACATCTGGTAGCAACAAATTCGATGACCTAAATTACCGCCGTCATTCAATTTGTAGCACTCATTCACAATGATTTACCATTATTTCTGACGCTCTATAATAAGAGCGGGTGAGTATTTGTTCCTTTATACCGACTTTCGTTGGCACTAGCGTGTGTCGTGGTGCTGACCCCAACCCAAAGACATCCCCTCTTGGTGCTGACTCAAACCCAAAGTCAACACTCCTTGGTGCTGACTCCTACCCAAAGATATCACCTTTTGGTGCTGACTCCTACCCAAATTCATCACTCCTTGTTACTGACTCCAACCCAAAGACATCCCCTCTTGGTGCTGACTCAAACCCAAAGTCATCACTCCTTGGTGCTGACTTCTACCCAAAGATATCACCTTTTGGTGCTGACTCCAACTCGAAGAGATCACTGCTTGGTGCTGACTCCAACCTAAAGACATCCCCTCTTGGTGCTGACTCAAACCCAAAGTCATCACTCCTTGGTGCTGACTTCTAACCAAAGACATTCCCTCTTGGTGCTGACTCCAACCTAAAGACATCCCCTCTTGGTGCTGACTCCAACCTAAAGAATCCCCTCTTGGTGCTGACTCCAACCCAAAGACATCCCCTCTTGGTGCTGACTCCAACCTAAAGACATCCCCTCTTGGTGCTGACTCCAACCCAAAGACATCCCCTCTTGGTGCTGACTCCAACCTAAGACATCCCCTCTTGGTGCTGACTCCAACCTAAAGACATCCCCTCTTGGTGCTGACTCCTACCCAAAGATATCACCTCTTGGTGCTGACTCCAACCCAAAGACATCCCCTCTTGGTGCTGACTCCTACCCAAAGATATCACCTCTTGGTGCTGACTCCAACCCAAAGTCATCACTCCTTGGTGCTGACTCCAAACCAAAGTCATCACTCCTTGGTGCTGACTCCAACCCAATATTTGAGAATTTACTGCTTGTGCCCCAATAGGTTTTCAGTATTTGTTGCTATATTGAATTTCTAGTCCTCTGCCTGGGTTGCAATATTGAATGTCTAGTCCTCTGCCTGTCTCCAATGCCCAGATTCTGTAATCTTTTGGTGTCTTGAAATAGTTCATTAGGGGGTCTTAGTAATTAATAAATCGCCAGGAATGTTTGGGAGCGCCAGGATCCAATCAAATCATCCTGTAATATTAACGACTGCACTTCTTGACAAACACATGATGTCAGGGACTAATAATAATAACAAACACATGATGTCACGGACAAATGACAAACATATGATGTCAAGGACAAATAACAAACACATGGTGTCACAGAAAGATGACAAACACAAGATGTTACGGACAAATGACAAACACAACTTGCCATGGAAAAATAACAAATACAAGATGTCACGGACAAATGACAAACACAAGCTGTCACGGAAAAATAACACACATAAGATGTCACGGACAAATGACGAACACAAGATGTCATGGAAAAATAACAAACACAAGATGCCACGGACAAATGACAATAACAAGATGTCAGTGAAAAATAACAAAAACAAGATGTCATGGAAAAACACAACATGTCAGGGGAAAATGACAACCACAAGATGTCACGGATAAATGACAAAAGTAAGATTTCATGGACACATGACAAAAACACAAGATGTCAGTGAAAAATAGCAAACACAAGATGTCACGGACTCCTGACAAACACAAAATTTCACGGAAAAATAACAAATACAAGATGTCACGGACTCCTGACAAACACAAAATTTCACGGAAAAATAACAAATACAAGATGTCACGGACAAATGACAACAACAAGATGTCACGGAAAAATAACAAACACATGATGTCACTGACAAATGACAAACACAAGATTCACGGAAAAAACACACAAGATGTCACGGACAAATGACGAACACAAGATGTCATGGAAAAATAACAAACACAAGATGTCACAGACACATGACAAACACAATATGTCGCGGAAAAATAACAAACACGAAACAAAATAAAATCAGTTGTTTTTTTTTATTCTATTTTAAGCAGTCAGAGATGTGATAGCATTTATAGCACAATAAATGGACATTCAACTCTTATAACAATCTCATAGGATATATTAAAAGTAATATTCATGCATCACTTAGCAATGTGATAATATCTACACAAGAAATTGTCAAGCAGTGTGATATTATCTATACAAGAAATTGCCAAGCATCTCTATAGTGTGGGGACTAGGGTATACATAATCCATCTATTACGTTATTGACTGGTTGGTAGGATTACCATACATTAAATTAGTGATCAACAGACGCACGTGCCAACAGACGTACTGCCAACATTTTAACACCGAAACATTACATTATTACGAGTGGAATTCGAGCAATGGGAAATTTAACATTATACAAAGAACACTGACGTGGGGGTGTTCTATTGTTACATGAGGAGAACCGCTGACATAAGATTTTATTCATTTCATGTTACGTAACGAGAATAAATGTAAAAATCATCTACCGGAGAACCGACTTTCAAAATTCATTTATTTTTCCTAAAGAGGGGGGGGGGGGGCAATTTTCATTGGAACAAGAAAAAACCAGGGCCTGGAAAATACAGTGTGCCAAAAGTTGACAGCGGGGGATAAGGGGGGGGGGGCGTTCAAATTAAAAGTCTCTAAATATGTAACGATATATGGTTATGACAATATGTATGTTGTTCCTAAGTTATAGTTTATAGGATATGTCAATATTTTATGTTACTAAAATTTAGTCCAAATTGCAATATATTATATATATATATATATTATGTATATATATTATGTATGTCATTGTATGTGCCACTATGTATGCCACTTTGCGTGTGTCGATATGTGGGAGTGGTTGTAATGTATAAGACACGAAAACACCATTGTCAATGGCTCAATGGCCCTATGTCAGCATTGGTATTGTTCACAACAGCGATCTCTGTTAACACTAGGAAGATTAGCAATATGAATGACGTCAGCAGCACAGCAATAAAAAAAAAACATGTACCGGTACTTGAGTATATTGTGCTTGGCAACAGCGCGCAAACGGTGGTTAGTTCGTTTTTATAAAGATCTCTTATATATATTACGCTTCTGGTGTGACTCGTGGACTGCTTCATAATGGACTGCTTCCTAATCAGCAAATTTGGTATTGAGAGTATATTACTAATAATTCTATATGTTTGAAAGATAGTATGGTTCAATAATGAGTTCAATAGCGCGCAAAAGACAATTACCGATAACTACGCTAAGTGATATATATATATATATATTTTTTTTTTTTTTAACGCAACTGCGTTTGGTGCGTAATATTTTCTTTTTTCAATAATGAGTTCAATAGCGCGCAAAAGACAATTACCGATAACTACGCTAAGTGATATATATATATATATATATATTTTTTTTTTTTTTTTTAACGCAACTGCGTTTGGTGCGTAATATTTTCTTTTCGAAAAATGAAATCGTCTCAATTTAAGTATGATGTAAAAAAAATATTAGGTTTAAAAGTGGTTGGGACATCAGAATATTTTATATTGTTCATGGGCGTGAAATAAAAAATGTGAAGTGGCGTATCATAGGGGAAGGGGCGTAGGAAAAACTGGGCTCTTAAATGTGCGTTTCTTGAGTTCATGTTTAGTCAGGTAACTTGAGTAGATGGCAAGTACACGCATTGCTGTCGCCAATGTTTGGCCGGCTATAGCTAGTGATTAGTATTCGTCTAAATTTAGAAATGACTCATTGTTATTGCTTAAACACTTCGATTCTACGACGCATTATTGGCTTCGATCTTTGGCAGTCAATATGTAGGTCATGTTAAATATAGCGAACTTATCAATGAAATCTTGTTGAATAAGTCTATATGTGCGGACACGCGCGCCCACGCACACGCCCACGCATGCACAAAGCACATTGAAACATTAGCCTCAAAAATGATTCACTATACACACTTCCGGATAACTTACAATGGATGTTCAATCAAAATAGGGTTCCCAGCAAAGTTTTCAACCGTTTGAAAATTTACTGACAGTCCGCAAATATTTAACCTAAAATTATTGGTCCGTAAAAGTCCGTTAGAACTTAAGAATGGCGTAGTACAAAACATGAGACATTGGAGATAACCTGTTTGTTTGTTTGTTTGTTTGTTTTTTGTTTGAATGTCTTCTTGTTTGTTTTAACGGAACAATACATAATTCAAATATTTTTCCAACGCCGTGCTACATTCTGGCCATCAATCAAACACACCGCTTAATGAAATGTTTTTCGTTGTCATAGCAACATTACTATGGCTCATGCCCATTTTATTTTCATGACAAGTTCCAGTCAAAATGAACATTTAAACTCCATCATTGACATCTCAATGGTTAACTTGTTCACGTGATTCCTGTTCTTAAGTGTTACTTTGATGTCTCTCTGTCAACATTCGGCTGCAGTGTTATATAGAGTACGGTGTTGCTTTCAAGGGTTCTCCATCAAGATTGGAATTTGCGCTTTAAAATTTGACTTAATGAGTTCGTCTTTCGATTTCTTCTTGGTATTTCCGTTGATGCTAACAGAGTGTTTTGACCTTCCCTAATTCTCTCGTTGTTAATGATCTCTATTTCCTTGTCCTGCAAGAACACACAGATATGTTGTCCTGTCATCGTGATGGCCGCCACCATTCCAGGGATGGCGCAGCACACTGTGTCATGGGTCTCATTACATGGACTAGCCTCGTGGAGATGCTCAGCTGAACAGTCCGCGCATTTCTGACACTCGCCAGCACTAGCGGTGTGCATATGTTCCGCACGGAAATACCCGCTAGGACAACCGACCACTGCGTCTGAATATGGTGTGCAACGTTTGACTATGATTTGATTGAGGTGGCTGTGGGCCACTTTGCAGATTCCACAGTCAGTGAAAGTGTGATTGTCTTCAGAAATAAAAGTATGTTCCGGGCAAGGCAGACAAATGGGGGACGTATCGTAGTGGTGGTGTAGATACTGTCCCTTGTTGCACGTCAACTCGCCCTGCACGTGATGTAGTGTGGCCATATGGCAGCACGTAGCCAGCAGAACGGCAATGCTTAACGCCATTGCGATACAGATTTCTACTAGGCTTGGCTTACAGGAACTTGTCAAGATGAGACTAGGGCTTTCTAGGAATTTCTGAAAGTAACAAAGAATATTGAAACGTAAGTGTGATGCCGCAATCGCTGCCTTACACTTACAAATATAAAAGGAGTATGTGGTTCAATGCCTTACACTTACAAATATAAAAAGGAGTATGTGGTTCAATGCCTTACACTTACAAATATAAAAGGAGTTGCTAATCAAACAGCAATTGTTACCTAAACAAATTAGTTGAACATACTTAACATAAGAACAAGATTGGATTTGTTGACTCCATACGAAATAAACAAAATTCACAATTTTACATAGCTGAAGTGTCTTTTCCCTCTTTGGTTTTTTAAATTTTACTTCCATTCACCTGCACTGTTCTTCTGAACTTTGTTTTTTGCTTTATTTTATATAAATATAAAATGAACATTCAAAATTTACATTTTAATTTTGTTTCATCATCATTAAAGTTAAAGCTAAACTTAAATTGTGTTTATTAACACAAATCGCTAATTAATCCACCTGAAAGCTATATCGCAGTCCAACACACTCTTATTATTAGTTCATGAACATATTTGAAAAAAGTGCCATGGTTTAATCCAAGTATCGACTATAACAAAACTCTACTTTGGTTTACCTCCTGACAGGGCATGGCATCCAAGCAGTAAGATCCCTTCAAGTTCATTTCAAAGAATGGGTTTATGATAAGCAATGATCTAGAATATCATATCTAGTATTTCCGATTTCTTATGTTAAAGTCAGGGGTTCTAACATTTGTGTATATCTGATTTCTAAATTGGGCTTCGCGCGGCTTCTAGAGATAATTTCTTGAAATTGGAAACTTTTCCCAACATCTCAAGCCCCAGGGTTTATCTGGCTTGCCCTAACAAACGTTTATTTATGTACACTAGGGTCCGTATGTCAGAAAATTTTTAGAAGCACTGTGTGATTATGCGTATGCGTGTATTTATATATAGCATATGACAGCAAAATGCGTCCTTCTACCTGTTTATATATGTACAACATAGATCGGGAAATTCAGTGATATACAAGGAATGCCTATGACTCACGTCGTTACCTCCCCCCCCCCCTCCTCCCTTGGTACATACTTTATTTGTTCAGCGGTTTTCTCTATGATTCTTGACAACAGCCAATTTGTCTCCAAGACGAATTGTTTTGGTTATGCTGTGTCATGACATCAACATGCCATGTCTCTAAGATAAGTTGTTTTTTGTCATGTCATGTCACGACGTCAACACGCTATGGGTTGTTTTGATATGTTGTGTCTTTTCATGTCATGACATCAACAAGCTATAAGTGGCTAACCCCCTTGTCGTAGAAGGGGGTGCGAAGGTGGGGGGGGGAGGGGGGCGGATTCGCCTTGGGAGGCATTTTTTTTACTGGATGGTGAATGGTGGATGGTGGCATTTTCGTCAAACTCCAGATTTTTATTTTTAAAAATTGTTTTTGTTAAGGAGGGGTGTGAAAAATCTAGGCCGCTTCTAACGTTAAGGCGCATGTCATGCTTGAATTTGTTGTTTATTGGTTACCATGGTTTGTGTACCGGCAGAGGCGTAGCTAAGGGGGGCAGAGGGAACAGATGTCCCTGGGCGCCAGACTAGTTAGGGGCGCCAAAACGTGCTTTGATATTATTTTATTGATGAAAATAATGGGTTTGAGAATTGAAAAAAAAGAGGCGCTTTAAAATAAATCTTGTCCCCAGGCGCCTAATACTCTAGACACGCCTCTGAGTACGGTTGACCTCCATGTTTGTATAGATTCATCTACAACTGTTGCAGAGGAGGTTCTGGACGCTATCAGCGGCGGTATGATGGACTCACTATCAGTGTCGGTATGATGGACTCATTTATCAGGGTCGGTATGGTGGACTCACTATCAGGGTCGGTATGATGGACTCATTATCAGAGTTGGTATGATGGGCTCACTATCAGGGTAGGTATGATGGACTCACTATCAGGGTCGGTATGAAGGACTCACTATCAGGGTCGGTATGATGGACTCACTATCAGGGTCGGTATGATGGAGTCACTATCGGAGTCGGTATGTTGGACTCACTATCAGGGTCGGTATGATGGACTCACTATCAGGGTCGGTATGGTGGACTCATTTATCAGGGTCGGTATGGTGGACTCACTATCAGGATCGGTATGATGGACTCATTATCAGAGTTGGTATGATGGGCTCACTATCAGGGTCGGTATGATGGACTCACTATCAGGGTCTGTATAATGGTATGATGGACTCACTATCAGGGTCTGTATGATGGTATGATAGGCTCACTAACAGGGTCGGTGTGGCGGTAAGACGGGTTCACTATCACACACGGTATGACGGGTTCACTATCACAGGCGGTATGGCGGGTTCACTATCACAGGTGGTATGGCGGGTTCACTATCACAGGCGGTATGGCGGGTTCACTATCACAGGCGGCATGGCGGGTTCACTATCACAGGCGGTATGACGGGTTCACTATCACAGGCGGTATGACGGGTTCACTATCACAGGCGGTTTGGCGGGTTCACTATCACAGGCGGTATGGCGGGTGCACTATCACAGGCGGTATGGCGGGTTCACTATCACACACGGTATGACGGGTTAACTATCACAGGCGGTGTGACAGGTTCACTATCACATGTGCTATGACGGGTTCACTACCACAGGCGGTATGACAGGTTCACTCTCACAGGCGGTGTTGCAAGCTCACAGATTTTTTGTTCAGTTTGATAAGAAATGTTTGTGGCTTTTATTTACTAGTACACTTGTGTGTGTGATTGGGGTGGGGGAAGGAGGTTTGGGCGTGTTGAGTTCTTGCATTGGTACAAGTATGTATTTGTGGGGGGAAGAGGATAGACGTATCTGGTGTTGAGCTCTTGCATTGGTACAAGTGTGTACTCACTTTTTTTCACAGGATGACTCCTGACAAGTCTGGTATTAAATGATGTCTATGAATTATTTTCTACTTGGGATATGTATAAATCAATTTTTATTTTTTAAAATTATATATGCCTCATCTTGGACGGGCTTGCCAACCGTCCGTACATTTACGGAAAGTTGGTGAAATGTGGAACCAAAATGACTTGTCCGTAAATGTCCGTCAAACTCCAGGAGGTCATTATAAAAAAGAGAGAGAGAGAGAGAGCGAGAGAGAGAGAGAGAGAGAGAGAGAGAGAGAGAGAGAGAGAGAGAGAGAGAGAGAGAGAGAGAGAGAGAGAGAGAGAGAGAGAGAGAGAGAGAGATTGTACAAAAACTATTGCAACGAACAAAAGAAGAAAACATCTGCGTTTGTCATTTCTTCTTGTTTGCTTTCAGTGGCGTAGGGAAGGGGGTGCATTCCATCCTGGGCGGCACTAACCTATAGCTACGTCACTGTTTGCTTTATTCTTGTATGGTCGTAATCTAATTTCTCTAATGAAAACGTCATACAATAAACTATCAGCAGGAAAATAATCTCTCATAAAACCTTTATACAATAAAATGCTAAGAGAATAATCTCTAATGAAAAGTATTACAATAAACTATACAGTTAAAAAAATAGGCTCATCCAGGCGTGAATCGTGGTCATGTGTCATTTAAGATAATATACAGTCGTTAATTTTTTTAAATTTAAGTTATATATTCGTACCCAAAAACCCCACTACCGTCAATCAAAGTGCTAGTCACCGTCACCTTTTTTATCTTTAAAAATCAGAGTACATTGATTTATTATATTATATTTGAGATATGTCTCAATTAAAACCTAAACAATTTAATCATGCGTGTGTCGGAAGATGACAATGTGTTGAAATTTGATAATTATGTGAATTAGCCTAATTTTTTTTAAAAGTATGTATGTATGTACATCGTTGGTTTAATTTTAAAAAAAAAATATTTTCAATAATAACATGTGGCTCGCGAAGGTTTGACTCATGATCGATGTGGTTCATGTAGCCATATGGGTTGACCAGACCCAGTGGTATAGGAAGGGGATGCGAAGGTTTGACTCATGATCGATGTGGTTCATGTAGCCATATGGGTTGACCAGACCCAGTGGTATAGGAAGGGGATGCGAAGGTTTGACTCATGATCGATGTGGTTCATGTAGCCATATGGGTTGACCAGACCCAGTGGTATAGGAAGGGGATGCGAAGGTTTGACTCATGATCGATGTGGTTCATGTAGCCATAAGGGTTGGCCAGACCCAGTGGTATAGGAAGGGGATGCGAAGGTTTGACTCATGATCGATGTGGTTCATGTATCCATAAGGGTTGGCCAGACCCAGTGGTATAGGAAGGGGATGCGAAGGATTGTCTCGTTATCAATATGGTTCATGTCCATAAGGGTTGGCCAGACCCAGTGGTATAGGAAGGGGATGCGAAGGATTGTCTCGTTATCAATATGGTTCATGTCCATAAGGGTTGGCCAGACCCAGTGGCGCAGGAAGCTGGTGTAGAGGTGGCGGCACATTTTAAATACTTTACATTAACTTCACCTTTGTTCATGTTTTTTTTTTTTTCTGGCTGGGTGGCAAAAATCTTCAGGACGGTAAATTTACCCACTTCCCGTCAACCTATCGAGCTGAAACTTGGCATATGTTCCTATGGTCAACACAATTGTACAATGTGGTACACTCATGGCTAGTAAATGTTGGCATTCTGGGACACTAATTTGTACTACTGTGTAGTGTGGAGATACTGGTGTGTGCTAAATGTGTCACACAAGGCCGCTCATTTGTACATTGTACAGGTTAGTAAAAATAATCCCCAATAAATGTACACAATTAATGTACGCACACAGTGTACTCATAATAAATGTAAACATAATAAATGTACACACAATAAATGAAATATACACACCATAATACAAAATGAGAAAACTGAAGACTTTGAGGTCAAGAAATAAACAATTTTAATATCATAAAATACACAATATAAAAGCCATGTGCATGATTTTAAAGGCAATGGTAACTAAAATATAAAGATGACTCTACTCCAACGATAGTCATGGCATCATTGTTTTAAAATATAAGGATTACTCTAATGATGGTCATGGCATCAACTGTTTTAAATATTAAATACGCTATTACACAGAATAAAAATATAAGTTATAAGATTTGAAAAAAAAAAAAATCGAAGTCTACATCTTGCAGCTGATAGAATTCTCTCTATTGAAATTGAAGTGACCTATGGTGGATGGGATCTGATCACATTTTATACACCTCCCATCGATGTGAGTGATAACTAAGTTATTACATAAATCAAAAGGGTGGGTTGAAACTAATGGTTTCATAGTAAGTTACAGAGCCCGTTGGCCTACCAGGATTTTTCGGCCTACCAGGATTTTTTGGCCTACCAGGATTTTTTGGCCTACCAGGATTTTTTCGCCTACCAGGATTTTTCGGCCTACCAGGATTTTTTGGCCTACCAGGATTTTTTGGCCTACCAGGATTTTTTGGCCTACCAGGATTTTTCGGCCTACCAGGATTTTTTGGCCTCCCCGGCTTTTTTGGCCTCCCCGGATTTTTTTGGCCCCCCCG